CTATCAGACAGTGCTCAATTAGTAACAAGTGAACTAATTTTAATTTTGTGACCAATTCAGTCTTTTTCAACTTTATTGACTGAAAATGCAACATATGTTTTCTTTCACCAAAATTAATGCAGTCTCTACAAGGCCTGCATGGACAGATGTTCTTCAACTTTGTAATTGTTTACTTGTTGTCACTGAATGCTTTTCAATTGATAATGTTTGTCCCTGAGGATTAACTGTTGTTCCAGGCTCAATTGGTTTTCATTATTATTATTGTTTTGGTGAAACTCTTTCAGGTGTTGTAATTTATTTACGATGACCAGAAAACATTATACCTTGAATTATAAACAAGGTGTCATTGAACATTTTCCTTTTGTCTTGATAACTTTTGATAAGGTGAACCATCTTGTTTATCCAATATCTTGTTTTTGCATTTCAGGATAAGGCTATAAGCAATCTGAAGAAATTGCTGCTTAGTATTAATTAGAACACTGGGAACACTGCTTAGCGCACTGTTGCTTGTGCTATAACACAATGCCCAAGAGAATGTGTTTTCTTATTATTTTTAGAACTCTGAGAAAGAGCTATACCAATATCAGGACAAACCATGGCAAATATTGGTCCAAAATGTAAGTTGATATCTATTTTATTGCATGAAATATCTGAACTTGCAAGGCTAGAAACTAACTGTATCCAACTACTAACAGCTTAGTCAAGACTCAGATAAATGGCTGGTGTTTTATGTTTCTCCTAGCCTTTATGAATAGCGAAAAACAACTATTTCTTATGGTACTTCATCAAAATTGGCATAGTTTGTATTTTTTGCAAATTTTAACATTGTATTTTTTGCAAAAGCTGAACACAGCAGGAATAACAAATTGTGAAAATGATAAATTAAAAAATAATTTCACCTTTCCAATACGAAATGCTTGAAGAGTTTCAATTCCAGAACTCGTAAAGGCATACCAAACTACTTTATTTAAGCTTTCCCATAGCAAAATCTGGCTGGTTAAAAATGGTTTTGTCTAGTACATGTAAGATCTGACATAATTTCACAAGCCAGTAGGCCAGAGTTTAAAAAAGTTGGTTTCAGGCCCTGTTTTGTGTCTAGTTTTCCTTACCACTTAGAATTGCTATTCTAAGTAGGTGCTACAGCTAGTTGGTCGTTATATACCTGCCTATCAAATGTACTCATTTTCATGCAGCTTCCCTATATTAGGTATATACTCACCCTGGTGGGGAGACCATGTGGTACAAAGTCTAAACACACTGACCATTACGGCATTACCCCACTTCACTTTCTAATCTGTTAACTAGACTGTTACTTATATTTCTTTTATACAATTTAGCTATAAAAAATTGCGAAAAAACTTTTCTTAAAAACATTCAATAAATTTCTAAACGGTTAAGAAAATTATACATGACCTTTAGACGTTTTTCTGCATTTATAAAATTTTCATGCTGCAGTTTTCCACTTGATAATGACTGAGACTGTGGAAACGTTGTGTATTTTTTAACATTTAAAAATTTCTTAAATATTTTTAAGAAAAGTTTTTTCGCAATTTTTTATAGCTAAACGTTTTAAAAAGTTCCTTCTTTTTTTATACAGTTTGGGATGGGAAATAATTTTTGATGTAAAGGAAATTTCCAACTTCTGATGGATTGTTTTTCTTTGTTTTAAATCTCAAGGTTTCTCCTTCTGGTAAACGGAAGGTAATTGCA